TTTGAAGAAAGGCCAAAGTAGGGTTTAGGGTTTAGGGTTTAGGGTTTAGGGTTTAGGGTCTAGGGTTTAGGCGTAGGGTTTAGGGTGAAGCCTAAACGATGGCGCTACAGTGATTGTAATTAAAGAAGTGCACAGTGTTTGTTGTCGAGGATCAGGGCTTAGGGTTTAGGGATTAGGGTTCAGGGTCTAGGGTTTAGGGTTTAGGGTTTAGGGTTTAGGGTTTAGGGTTTTGCTGCACAGAGAAGAACCCCTTCATCCCTTTTCAATCGGCCCCCAGTGCCTCACGGAGAAATACCCAGCGCAGTGGATCCGTTGCGACATACGGTGCGCCTTCTGAAACCCTAAACCCTAAACCCTAAACCCTAAACCCTAAATCCTGATCCTAGGGCCTAAACCCCAGCCCCTAGGCCTCAAGTCCATCTACCCGGAAGACCTAAGGGTTCATTGCTGGCCCTTGGCGAGGAGCTGCCTAGAGGCCACGAGGCAGGGGCTAGGGTTTAGGGTTTAGGGTTTAGGGTTTAGGGTTTAGGGTTTGCGCGCAGGACACTAGATTTTTCAATTTTTAAACCCTTCGTAGATGTAGTGATGGCAGACCCTCCCTGGGACATTCACATGGACTTGCCCTATGGCACCATGACGGACGACGAGATGCGCAGCCTCAGAGTGAGGGTTTAGGGTTTAGGGTTTAGGGTTTAGGGTTTGTGGTTGGGGGTCTAGGGTTTAGGGTTTGGGGCGGGAGATACGGCCACGTTAGCTTGCGGCCCGAGGTTCAGGACCAGGCGGGTCTTGCTGCTCTTGCGGCGCCTGGGGATATTGGGTTCGTGGGGGAGGGTTCAGGGTTTAGGGTTTAGGGTTTAGGGTTTAGGGTTTAGGGTTTAGGGTTGTGCGGTGTATACACAGGTCGACTTGATTCAGGACGAGGGTTTGTTGTTTCTTTGGGTTACGGGTAGAGCCATGGAGCTCGCAAGAGAATGCTTGCAGGTGGGTAGTAGATAAGGTCCAGGGTTTAGGGTTCAGGGTTTAGGGTTTAGGGTCTAGGGTTTAGGGTTTAGGGTTTAGGGTTTACGGCAGATAACTTTGGCGGGATGATTTCGGTTATGTGACACCGCTAGCTGTGTCGTGTAGAGTCAAGCCAGTGGATATTGGGCTTTGGGACCTAGGGTTTAGGGTTTAGGGTTTAGGGTTTAGGGTTTAGGGTTTAGGGTTTAGGGTTTGTGGCGCACACAGCTCTGGGGCTACCGGCGCGTGGAGGAGATATTATGGGTAAAGACAAATCAGCTGCAGCGCATTATAAGGACGGGCCGGACAGGCCACTGGCTAAACCACTCAAAAGTAAACCCTAAACCCTAAACCCTCAGAGCCCAAACCCTAAACCCTAAACCCTAAACCCCAGACCTGCCGCAACTGCGAGCCAGCATTCCAAGCCGTAGAGTCCCTTGGCGTTTGTGCAGCAGTCTGGAGCCGCTGCAGCTTTTTGAGGGTCTAGGGCCCAGGGCCGAGGGTTTAGGGTTTAGGGTTTAGGGTTTAGGGTTTAGGGTTTAGGGTTTAGGGTTTGCGGATAGGAACACTGCCTGGTCGGGGTCAAAGGAAACCCCAAAGTAAACCGCAACATCGACTGCGACGTTATAGTCAGCGAAGTTCGCCAGACTTCCAGAAAGCCAGACGAAATCTACAGGTCCTAAACCCTAAACCCTAAACCCTAAACCCTAAACCCTTGGGGCAGCTGGTAGGGGGCAGCTGCGCAGCTCCGGGCACTCAGGAGTCCGCCGCAGTCCGAAGGCGTTTTAGGGACGAGGGTTTAGGGTTTGGGGGGGTTTCCAGGAGCCAGTGGGTTAGGGTTTAGGGTTTAGGGTTTAGGGTTTAGGGTTTTGCTCTTGCATTTGTTTGGCTGCAGAATGATAGAGCGCATGCGCCCAGGCACTTTAAAGATCGAGTTGTTCGGGCGGCAGCATAACATCCGCAACAACTGGATTACTCTAGGTGATTTTTGAGGGTTTAGGGTTTAGGGTTTAGGGTTTGGAGTTTAGGGTTTAGGGTTTAGGGTTTAGGGTTTGCGGCTGGGTGTGCGCGTTTGGAGGGCAGAGTAGCATCCGCAACTACTGGAGTGCTCTAGTTGACGAGGATAAAGGGTTTAGGGTTTGCCGTCTAGGGTTTAGGGTTTAGGGTTTAGGGTTTAGGGTTTAGGGTTTAGGGTTTGCGGCTGGGAGTGGGTGGCTGCAGGGAATCAACTCGAAGGGGTCAAACTGGAAGAGCCCGCGGAGCTCGCCCAGAGGTACAAAGCATTTGTTCAGCAGCAGCAGCAGCAGCAGCAGCAGCAGCAGCAGCAGCAGCAGCAGCAGCAGCCGCCGCAGCAGCCGAGTGGAGCAGCGGACAATCTAGAGAGCACGGGGACGGCAGAGCCGAGCCTCAGCCCTTAACCCGCTCTTGGTAAACGAAACCCTAAATTAGGGTTTACAGGCTACGCGTCTCTCAAGCCCACAAGCCGCTAGCGAAGCAAATA